CTGTACCTTTTGTGATTTTTAAAAAAAATTATTTAATTTTCTTTATCATTATTATTATTTTTTAATTTGCTACAGGGCACCTACACTCACCAGAGAAAGACAGAGAGAGAAAATGAGAAAGCAAGCCACCAGGTCCAGGACTCAAACCACGGTTGTCCAGGTGGGTGTCCAGTGCCTTACCACCATGTCACTTGCTGACCCTAGTGATTCTTTTTCAAACACAACATTATTCAGGGTATGAACTAAAGAAAAAGCCAGAAAATGGTTGTGTATGACTCTAATAACTCTGTCTATGTAAAGGACAGGGAATTTATATTATTATTTATATATTACATAAACACATATATGTATTTTAGCAATATATGGTTTCACAGTTGCTAAAAAGAACTGCAACCTATACCCTCTTAGCATAAAGCTTATAGACCTGACCTGGCTCTCCTGTATAGTTTAACATAATTAACAGAATGGAAAAACAAGACAGATCCTCAAGAATGACTTACTCATTTAAAACAAGAATGCTTCAAGAGCAAGCTACTAGAAAATTTAGTAATGTGGTAATGAAATGTGCTAATGAACAGCTCAAGTGTCATGGGCATGCCTTAATAAATAAAGAACTCAAAAACACTAAATACATAAAAGTTAAGATAATACTGAAAATCATTTTCTTCTTTTTGATTAAGCATAAAGAAGAATTTCATGTCCCAGAGTACAAGTAGCAAATATAGTTATAACTAAATCAGCATTTAGGTTGTTTGTTCTAGACATCTTACTCAGAACAGATCTGCTTTCCTAGAAGTAGCCAGACCTATGCTGCCCAAAAGCCACTCTGCAATTCCAGGCTTCTTACCCACCACATTCATTTGTTTCATGAATGTCACATGGACTTAAATCCAGTTTTGATAGTATAAATAGTATTGATGACAGTTACTTTCTCCAAAATAGCAGAAAGCATTGCTAAACTAAATAATTTTCATATGAAGCATTCACCTTCATTTTGTTTTCTTTTCTTTTCTTTTTTGGTTATAGGGTACATGCAATTGCCAGAGAGAGAGGGAAAGTGAGAAATCAATCCCCAGGAGGGATGTCTATACCACAATCCCTTTTCCTCTAGTATCCTCTCTGGATTTTGATCATGCACACACATGTGCCCAGCATGATTTTAAAGCCACCAGGTCCAGGACTTGAACTGCATAGCTGTCTATGTGGAATTCAGCACCTTGTCTTCCATGTCATCTGCTGGCCCTCACCTTCATCTTTTAACTGGTCAGCTTTTCCCACATCTTCAGGCACTGAGTTTGAGAGAGGCAGAATGTCATTCTGAAATTAAATTAAAAAATCAATATATTTCTGTTAAGTACATAAGTCATCACATGGTGCTATAAAAAGTAATAAATAAATTAACCACATGTTGATAAAGCATCTGTAATTCTATGTCATAAAATCTAACACCTAAATAATAGTGTTAACAAAATAATGGAAAAAAGTATTTTCACATGTTGTTTTTAGAGACAGGGTCTTTCTATATTGCTCAGGCTGGTCTTAACCTTCATGATTCCCCCATCTCAGCCTCTCCAGTAGCTGTCGCACACCATAGCACCTAACTCTATCCAACACTTTTATTAAAAATATAAATATCTAGGACCAGCAGTTGGCATAATGGTTATGTTGGTGGACTCCCATGTAGCCAACCGTGGTTTGAGTCCCAGGCCCAGTGGCTTAAACTCACGCCGGGCGCATGTGAGTGCATGCCCAAGATCCCAAAAGGAGAATGGAGAAGGGATTGTAGTGTGGCCATCCCCTCTGGGGGGTGATTTCTTGATTTCTGCCTCTCTGTCAGTAGCCAAATTTCATAAAATCTGCTTCAGAAGTGATGATACAATTCCAGATGAATCTACGTCCATAGTTGCTTTCTAAATGTTAAAACTTTTGCTTTCAACTTGTATCCCACGCGTTATGGGAATAGCAATTCAGATGTTGGAAATGTAAAAACACTCTGATACCAAAAAGGATTTAAAAATGGACTACGACATATCATTAAACATAAAAGAAGGTAAAAGGATGAGAATAGCAATTCATACAAACATCTAAAGTACATGAAATGAATTGTTTTAGGTCCTGAATTCTATCCTGAGAGAATATCTATCTTATACCCAGAAAGAAGTTAAATATTGGGTCATTGGAAAAGTCATGACACATTTTTACATAAAAAAAATATGTCATGACTTTTCCGATAGCCCAATATTTATAGGCCTGGCCCCTTGACTATTAACAATACAACATTGGGAACCAGCAGGTGGTGTGCTAGTTAGGTCCTGGACACTCCCACATGGCTGACCATGGTTTGAGTCTCAGATCTGGTGGCTTGCTTTCTTACTTTCTCTCTGTCTCTGTCTCTCTCTCTCTCTCTCTCTGTCCCTGTCTCTGATCAAATTTTAAAAATAAATTAATTAAATTAAATAATTCTTAAAAATTCCAACATAAAATTGTAAGTTATGCGTACATTAGACAGTAATGAGACAACAATACCAACATACCTTACAGAAGGAATTTGTGAACATTTCTGTCAAGGGCTGTGAAACTGCGAGGTGTGTATCTTCTGGGCTGATCTTAAAAACTGTCTCCAAGCATTGAATTGCAACTGGAAATAAATTTCAATAGTGAAAAAATATAAGCAACTTAAAAAACAAACCATCTTTCTTTTTTTTCCTGATAGGTTTGCAATGTGGTAATTCAGTATTTATGATCACAGAACATAAGAGAAACTAACTAGTTCAGCTACAGAGAAACTTCTGTTTATAGATCAGCTCTTAAGACAAGATGATGTGACTTTTTATTTCTCACTTAAATAAAAATGGTATCTTGATATAATCTCTCAACATATGTATTACATCATATTCTTGTTGGAAGCTACCAGAGAAAAGAATAAGTCTCTGATGCTGTACTCCCTACTACCAATATCACTAATTAATCACGTGTTTTTTCTATTTTTTAACTTTTCTTATTTTTTCTTCTTCGAATATTTATTTAATTTATGATTTACATATAATCATTACATATCTTTGCAGGGTACAAAATGGTCTTTGAAAGCATCAATATAGTTTGCAATAAACAAATCAATGATATAAACATATTTATCACTTCCAACATTTAACATTGTATTATGTTATTAAACATTCAAAACTCACTCCAGTGGTTATTCTGCAAATATGTACTGAATTTTCTGTGACATCCTTTCCTGTGAGATACAGTTATAAAGAAAAAGCCTATTCATTAAAAATCAAGCAACAAAAGATCTCATAAATTAGCAGAGATGCTCTTAACATGGCCAATGAAAGAAGAATTTGTAATTTCCAAGTAGAAGACTGTAGGAGATAATCTGAAAAATCCACGTGTATCAACCATTGGTCCAGTCAGAGATAGGTAAAACTGTACATAACAATTCCTTATTAAGAAGACAAAGAGAAAGAATACTTTTACTCACACCCTGTGAGTTTTTGTAAGACCATAGTACTGTACATAAAGAAGTATGACCTCAAAAATGTAAAAACAAAACAAAATTGGAAAGAGATGTTTAAAAGTGAAGACAAGGTAAAACCACTGATTTGGTCATTTATAGACTTTACAGAGTTCTTGATTTTAGCCTTTTAAAATCATCAATGTCTTAATGTTCTCAACAAACCTAAAATATAATCTTCCTTTGCTTTTTAATGTAAGAAATATAATTCTCAATCTGATTAAAATAGTAAGAGAGGAACCAGCAGATGTAGTAATGGTTACGTAGCTGGACTCCCACATAGCTGGTTCAAGTCCTGCACCTAGCCCCTTACAACAGGCGCATAGTGTGCATGTCCAAAATCCTGAGAGAAGAAAGGAGGAGAAGGGATTGCAGTATAGCCATGCCCCCTTAGGGAGTAATTTCTTGCTTTCTGTCTCTCTGTGTCTCTCTGCCTCTCCGGCCAGCACACATTCCTGATAGTAAAAATCTCTAAAAAAAAAAAAAAAATGAAAAAAGAGTATGAGAAACATAGTCCCTGGCACACACGAAGCAGTGAATAATGACGTTACTGTACTTGTGTGATAAATTAATCTTTAAAAGGTCATTCATACATGCAAATTCACCAAGTGTTTAATATGTGCAAGACACTGTTTTAAAGCAATAAAGAACAGTGGTAAACCTATCAGAATAAAAAATCACTATCCTCAGGACCAGCAATTGGAGTAATGGCTATGTCACTGGACTCCCATGTAGTCAATCGTGGTTCGAGTCCTAGACCGGTGGCTTAAACTCACACCAGGCGCATGTGCGTGCGTGCCCAAGATCCCAGGATTAGAATGGAGGAGAAGGGATTGCGGTGTGGCCATCCCCCTGAGGGGATTTGTAAAAATGACCTCACTTTCTGTCTCTCTGTCTCTCTCCGTCTTTCTGGAGAGTGTACGTGCCCTATAGCAAAAACCTCTTTAAAAAAAAAATCACCATCCTCATGATGAAGCTCACATTTAATAGGAGGAGGAAAACAAAGAGTAAAGTGTATAGCATGTTAAATGGTGATAGGTGCCGCATCCATTTTTGGTGTGTGACGACATACCTGGTTGGTACCACCAGGGTACTGAGTGGAAGTACACGGTAGGAGATCATGTTAAAAAGGATGTCTGTCATCAGATTAGATGGCACCTTCCATAGCATTTTTTTTTTTGGAGAGGTTTTCACTATAGGGCGCATGTGCTCTCCAGAAAGGCAGAGAGAGACAGAGAGAGAGAAAGCGAGAAATCACCCCCCCAGGGGGAGATGGCCACGCCACAATCCCTTCTCCTCCATTCTCCTCTCGGGATCTTGGGCATGCATGCACATGTTCCTGGCATGAGATTAAGCCACCGGGTCTGGGACTCAAACCATGGTCGACTACATGGGAGTCCAGCGACATAGCCATTACGCTAACTCCTGGTCCCAACTTTCCATAGCATTTTTAAAAGATTTAGATGTCATGCGGAAGGCAAACAGGGAGTCATTTAAGAATGTGGTAAAGGAAAATGACATTAACAGGATTTGTGATTAGAACCAGAAGCTCTGATGGGAATGTGGAGAATGGATCAGAGTGGGAAGCCCAGTGAGAAAATGAAAGCAAAACACCAGGTAGGTTCCCACTTAAAGAGAAAGAAACAAACAAGGAGCCTGAACTAGGGCAGACACTGGAGAGTACATAACCTATCTTCTCTACGATCCTGTTTGAGGGGAATGTAAGCAAATTCTTATCCTGATCATGCTCTAGTTTGAAAAGGAATTCTCTCCTGGCTCCAAGAGATGAAATATAGCCAAAATTTCCACTGTTCCTCCAGACATCAAAGAACAGATTCACTTTTAAAAGGGACATTATGCGTTGTGACCCTGAGGAAATTATGTCTGTTATAAAAGAATATTATTGGGATCAGCAAATTGTGTAATGGTTCTGTCATTGGACTACCACATAGCTGACCATGGTTCAAGTCCCAAACTCAGCAGCTTAAAACTCATGCCGGCCACATGTGCATGCGTGCCCAAAACCCCAAGAAGAGAATGGAGGAAAAGGGATTATGGCATGGCCAACCCCCCAGGGGGTGATTCCTTGCTTTCTGTCTCTGTCTTTCTAGTGAGCACACATATCCTATGGCAAAAATATCTCTGAAGAAAAAAAGAAATATTATGTTCACTTGCCACAGAACAACTCTCCTTAGAAAACAGACTAAAGAGATGGACATATTAATTTGTCTCATAATAGCAATCTCTTCACTATCTGTATGTGTCCTTTAACATCACACACTTTCCTTCTCTCTCTGATTAAATTTTAAAAATAACAGTAATCAAGTTAAATAATTACTTTTAAAACAGTCATTTAAAATAATAATTTAAAAAAGCAATAAATGTATGGAGGAAAAGGGATTATGGCATGGCCAACCCCCCAGGGGGTGATTCCTTGCTTTCTGTCTCTGTCTTTCTAGTGAGCACACATATCCTATGGCAAAAATATCTCTGAAGAAAAAAAGAAATATTATGTTCACTTGCCACAGAACAACTCTCCTTAGAAAACAGACTAAAGAGATGGACATATTAATTTGTCTCATAATAGCAATCTCTTCACTATCTGTATGTGTCCTTTAACATCACACTATTTACTTTAAATAAATAATAATAAAATTAATACATAATAAAATTACATTATAAATAATAAATTTAATACATAACAAAATTAATTAAATAATTAATTTGTGGGTTTCTGGAGAGATTTTTGCTATAGAGTACATGTGCTCACCAAAGAGACAGAGAAAGAAAGAAGTCACCCCCAGGGGAATGGCCACATTGCAATCCCTTCCCCTCCATTCTCCTCTCAGGATACTGGTTCTATGCGCGCACACATGTACGCGTGCACACACACGGTGTGAAGTTTAAGCCACTGGGTCCAGGACTTGAACCACAGTCAATTGCCTGGGAGTCCAGTGATGTAACCATTACGACATCTGCTGGTCCCATAAAATATATTTAAAGAAAAAAATAAGAGAGACTGAATAAGCAACTAAGTTACCAATGATAAAAAGATAAAATCAAAGGATCTTTTAGTTGGAAAATACTGTTTACCCATCTTTCATTTTCTCCATTTCTCTTCCTGCCAAACAGTTTTATTTGTTCATAGAACACTGACCCATGGGCAGACCCCATAGACTAGTGGTTAAGGGAGCTGTATCCCACATGGCTGATCAAATTTCAATCCTGGCCCTAGCAACTTGGAAAACACATGAGGAGTGTGTGTGTGTGCATGCACAAGACAGGATGGAGAAATGGAGAAGGGATGGCAATGGGACCGTACCCCATAGTGGGTACTTTCTTCCTCTCTCTTTCTGACTCTATCTCTCTCTTTGGTGAACACATGCCTACTGATCATTAAAGAAAACAAAACATTGGGCCACAGGAAAATAGGTTCTCACTGCCATGAAAACAGTTATTCAAGGGCCAGCAGATGGCGTAGTGATTAAGGTGCTGGACTCCCATGTGGCTCAGCTCAGTTCAAGTCCCAGACCTGACAGCTTCCTTTCTCACTTTCCTTCTCTCTCTGATTAAATTTTAAAAATAACAGTAATCAAGTTAAATAATTACTTTTAAAACAGTCATTTAAAATAATAATTTAAAAAAGCAATAAATGTATGTATATATGTATGTACACATTTATTTTTGATGAACATCTTTTCTCCTTGATCAGAGTGGTCATTTCTCTTGATCTGTCAGGTAGCTCGTACATATTTCTATTACTGTACTTATTGCACTTAAATCTATGCACTAATCTAAATTATATGCATTTAAATCTATGTCTCCCATATTAGACTGCCTCCTTGAGGACAGTGCCTACATCTTATTCATCCTTAAGATAGTCTGGAAAATGGGAGATGTTTAATAAATTTAATCTTCTGACTTCTTTGTTTGCAGGGGAAGTCATATTTTACTGTCACAGGAAATAAAAACAAATCCATAGAACAGAGCATTTTTTTTTGCCAAAAATAAAAACAAAAACAGCAAACAAAGACAGAAATTCACAGCCACAAGAAAGATATACACTGTCAAATAAGCTCTTACCCAAAATGAAAGTATGGAACTTCAGAGCTAAATACTGACAG